CCGTCGACATCGTATCGGGCGAATAAAACTCGAGCGCTGGCAACGGGCCGATATAATGCTGATTCTCAGGTGTATTGAACAGATGCGGAAAGACGCCCTTTTGTTTCAAACCAGCCGCATCCGCGAGGCCGAAGGCTTTCGGTAGTGCACTCAACGGCATATGAAAATAATTAAGGCTGTCTATGAAAGTTACACGACCCGTCTTCATCATTATGATGCTCGTACCGCTGAGTAGCAGCATCGGCGGCTTTAGGCTTTTTCTTCTACGCTTCACGATATACCGTAGTACAAACTGCGCGTCGAAACCCTTGGCATTATGCGCCACGCAGATCACACGCTGAAACGATTTTCTTTTAGGATCACATGCGAAATCTACAAACTGCCTTACAGGATCCTCTTCGAAGATGTACTCGTGTACACCGCAAGACGGACATACCCTCGCGAGATCTGTATCACTTATGCACGCTGTACACACCTGCTGAACGACGCACAGATTTGGGGTGTGGATACGCACCGCGTCGTCACCAGACAGTTTCTGTATCTGCTGTGTTTCAAAATCGTAGAAGATGTACAGAATATTTTTTTCAGCGCTAGTCTTTTTTACCGGTCTGACGTAACACCGATGTCCAATGTCATTAACACTTCTGCAGACGCTGCAATACACCTTACCGCAAGAGTGCTTACGAGACGTTCCTTGAAGAGGTCTAAGACACTGCGGACAGCTACGAACGGTCTGGCATACACTCTTTTCTTTTCCCTTCTGTTTACTAATCAGCGTGTTTATGTGATTATCGAAACAACTTTGACCGAAAAAGTACCTATGGCCCTCGCGACAATGCAATGTGGGGAGAGCCGAATCGCAAGGTGGTTTTCCGAAGCATCTAGCGCATTTATTGGAGCACTTATGCTGTGCCTCGTGCGATCTGTAAGATCTGTTACATGGTATGCAAAAACCACGATTACCGACCGCACCCCGCATATTTAAAATAGGCTGATAATGCTGCGAATTATTATAATACAGGATGCGGAGCGTTTGCCGTGGTTTCCCTGAGCCGTACGCGTTATCAACTGCTTGCGAACCGTCGTATAGCGGTTTCTCGCCGCTACTTATGCTGTCAAAATCGTAAACAACGATTGCTATACCATCCGGAGCAAGGTGCCTTTGAAATTTATCAATTTCCTGAATACCGCAACCATCGGGCGGTATGTCTACACAGGCGTTTGTCACAAGCTCGAGAGCTAATTGTTTTTAAAATTTGCCCCGTTGACGCTGTACAGCGTTCCATCTCTCATGCAGTTCCCCAGAGCGTACTTCCCCGCGTTCGGCGTATACCATCGCCACAGCGAGCGATCTAGGTAGACAGAGATTATCGGTGTTTATTATGGAAAGTACAGAGTGTTTTTTTACAAACTCGTGCGCTAATTGCACGCGCCCTGTACCCTGCGGTACTTCGACTATACACGACTCTATGACAAAAGATCTGTCTATTTGGAACGCCTGGGCGCTCTGTGCGACGGATGATATTACACCCCACACGTCGTTTTCAAGAAAGTCTCGAGCCGGCCTGTACGA